TTTGCTGGGCAATAGATATGTGCACAAAATTGGGAAAAATGTGTGACGTCATAATGACGTCAGCAAAAATGCGATTTTTTGAAACACATATAAGGGAATGTCCGATCGTCTTGAAACTTGGTGTTGTGGGTAGATAATAACACTAGTACACAAAATCTTGAATGACGTCACGATGACGTCATCGGTCGATTTTTAAAGATTTTTTAATATTGCCAATTTTATTCTGCTTACAAAATTTAACAATTTATTAATCCGATTTTTTTCAAACTTGGTACAGACTAAAACCACAATAAAATATTGAGCACTGCCAAGTATTGTTACGATGACGTCATCATTAGACATGTGACGTCATCGTTAACTTGTATATTTAAAGCCCCTATATCTCATGAACAGTACGTCCGATTGGGTGATGAAACTTGGTATGGGGGTAGGCCGGGATGTGTTGCAAATATTTTGAGGTGACGTCATCATGACGTCTTCATCGTGTGATTTTATATAGATTTCTGAAGTTTTGGACCTTAAGCCATATATCACGAACCCAATATGATAAATTTAAAATTCTTTTTGTATTAGGTTTGTTAGGCAATATGTATATGTACACAATTTTGAAAAATGAGTGATGTCATGATGACGTCATCAAACATGCGCTTTTTTTGAAACACATATAAGATAATGTCCGATCTTCATGAAATTGGGGGGGTGGGTAGATAATAGCACTAGTACACAACATTTTAAATGATGTCACGATAACGTCATCAGTAGATTTTTTTACAATTTTTTTTAATATTGCCAATTTTATTCTGCTTACAAAATTTAACACTTTTATTAATCCGATTTTTTTCAAACTTGGTACAGACTAAAACCACAATAAAATATTGAGCACTGCCAAGTATTGTTACGATGACGTCATCATTAGACATGTGACGTCATCGTTAACTTGTATATTTAAAGCCCCTATATCTCATGAACAGTACGTCAGATTGGGTTGAAACTTGGTATGGGGGTAGGCCGGGATGTGTTGCAAATATTTTTTGAGGTGACGTCATCATGACGTCATCGTGTGATTTATAATAGATTTCTGAAGTTTTGGACCTTTAAGCCATATATCACGAACCAATATGATAAATTTAAAATTCTTTTTGTATTAGGTTTGTTAGGCAATATGTATATGTACACAATTTTGAAAAATGAGTGATGTCATGATGACGTCATCAAACATGCGCTTTTTTGAAACACATATAAGATAATGTCCGATCGTCATGAAATTTGGGGGGTGGGTAGATAATAGCACTAGTACACAACATTTTAAATGATGTCACGATAACGTCATCAGTAGATTTTTTTACAATTTTTTTTAATATTGCCAATTTTATTCTGCTTACAAAATTTAACACTTTCATTAATCTGATTGTTTTCAAACTTGGTACAGACTAAAACGCAATAAATATATTTAAATGCAATATGCCAAAATCAAATTCCATTTGAATGTGGTTTGTTAGATATAACGTAAATGCACACAGTTTTGCACAAAACAGAAAAACATGACCTCAATTTTAAAAAAAAACATAATGCGGAAAAGCCCTATGTTCTGTTGCAAACAGACATAGACCTCTAGTTGGCTTTTCCGCATTGTTGCGGAAAAGCCTTTCTTTTTGTTCTGATTTTTTTTCTTTCTTCTTCTTCTTCTTCTTCCTCTTCTTCTTTTTTTCCAAAAGCCCATAGACTTTGTACACGTTTTTTCTACACGCCACTTTTGGCATTAATCTTTGTCAGACATCATTCAAAGTTACCATAAGCATAGTCCCTATAGCAAAGATTTGTCCCGAAGATTGACGTCATGGTGACGTCATCGACTAATTCATTATAGATTTTTGAATATTTAATTTTTCCCATAGACTTTGTACACAGAAATTTTAAAAAAATTGTCGCTTTTCAAAGGGCATTTTCGACTCTTTGCCAGTTATTCATTTACACCAATCTTTATCCAAGCAAAGACCCTAATTCAAACAACATTGTGGAATGATGACGTCATGATGACGTCATCCCGTGTTAATTTATAGGCAATTAAATTGTGGCACTTTTAATATTTAAAAATGCATAAGAAATCAACCGTACCGCGTCCGCAGCATTCTGTTGCGGCAAGTGATAGAGTAGGTTGAGGTCTTCATTTCATTCAGTGTGCGTGAAATCACGTGACCCTTGCTTCCGGTCGAAAATGGCCCAAACCGGAAGTGGCTTATTATTTGAAAATAGTAATAGAGATGAACTTGCTTTCAACGGTGTTAGACTCTTGGCTAAAAGTATTCTTCAAATCATCTACCAATGACGTCATGCAATCTTCGAGCGCCCTCTAGCGACAGGTTGAAAATTAGCAAAAATGTATTTGAATAGATGTCTGTGGCAAAGTTTGTCGGAATCGCCTAAATATTGGTGTATATGATGACCTTGACCCACTTAAGACGTGTGCGAAGTTTAAGGCAATTGACGTCATCAGACCGGAAGTTATAATAAAAAGACCCTTTTTCATTTGAAAATTCCTGAAAAATCAACCATGGCAGTTTTTATATTTGTTTTTACTTTAATTGTCGATTGAAGGGTAGGTCTAAAACATTTTGAAGTTTCGAGGCGATAAGCGAACTCGAACATACCCTGCGCACGCTTAAAACTTCACGTTGACAATACCTCTGCTTCAAAACATGCACAGGACAGGACGTCCACAGTGTACATGTACATGCACGTACGTTGTACATAGGCACATACATCGTATGTCAGTCAGACTGCAGCGCACGTGCTGCTGAAGTCAAATCCTGTCCACAGTGACCGTTTTAGCCGATTTTCGGCTAAACTTTGACAGATTTTATGTTCATGCATGCGCAAAGACAGGGACGTATTATAGCACTTTTGGCATTAATCTTTGTCAGATATCATTGAAAGTTGGCATAAGCATAGTCCCTATAGCAAGATGTGTCCCGAAGAGTGACGTCATGGTGACGTCATCAAGTGATTTATTATGGACTTATGAATAATTAATTTTCTCATAGACTTTGTACGCAGCTTTCTCCACAAGTCTTTCCCTATTCAACACTGAATATCTTACTGAGTAGTTCTGAACTTCGGCTGAGAATTACTATGAGAAGGAAAAAGAAATCGTATTTTTTTACGCCTGTCATTTGATTGAAA